CTTTCCACCTCTATTTAAAACAATAAAAATATTCAGTAATATTTTGCCAGTTTATAGCGGCAGAGGGTTTATTTACCCTTTGTTACGAAGTGTTATATGGGGGAGGGAGTTCGATTTTGTGCTTCGTGTTGAGTGGATCGCTCAAGGAGGGACAAAATTGGATTCCTGGAATAGAAATATTCCTGAATTTCTCTATAATATTTCTAGATTGGTCCTTTTACAAAGGAAAAGAGGAATTTATATAAAGCTATAAATTTGAAGGTAATTTAACCTACGTGTGCACGTGTTTGTCCAACAACCGTTGTCCAATGATGGATGGATCATATGAAATCATTGGACGTTAATACTATAGTAGGTATACAGCAAACGGAAAACTATAGAACTGAATAGGATGACTCCCCGTTTGAATACTATATCTTAAAGTTTTATCAGAACTGTATTGAATCGTGCTATATAATCGACTATATACCTATGCACGACTATGGTTAAAGTCAAACTCAATGGTGTCTTACAAGAAACATTAATTTGATATTCTATATTCAACAGAGAGGTAGAAACTCGACCCTATGGTGCAGTCATTTATGTCTCTAGAAATTATTGAAAAAGGGTTCAGTCCAACGGTGCAGCAACTTCAGATTCCTATTCTCTTCAGAGACATTGAAACTCAAGCTTTTCGAATTTATACAAAAATAGCGCAATGCAATATCGCAACGGTTTCGACTCCTCTTTACTCTACCAAGTTATAGAAACTGTAGTCTCTCTAATACTGTTCTAGTCAATATATCAGAGTATAAAAAGAGGGTGTAATTCAATATTGCAAGAAGTTTTGATCTTTTGATGGAGGCAAGTAGTTTGAATATTCTCATTTCTGCATATGATTTTGTTGAAAATAGTTTTGATTTGGGTAAAAATGTCTCAAAAACCCCCAAGTAAAATTTTTCGTTCAAAATATATATTTTGGGTAAAGTTTAAGCATCCTCACCGATTTGCCAACGAATTCATTTAAAAAAAATTTTTGTCTCAAACATTAATTAACAACCATTCTCGTCCCAGCCGTCGAGTGAATAAGTCGACGCAGCAGAGGCAGAGTAAACGTAAAACGTATAACGATAAAACCATAACCAACAAATAAACCTTCATAGTGCAAACTACTATAGTGTAAAAAAAATACTGTGAGTACAGACTACAATACGGTCAATAATTAGTTGACGGCCAAGTGAAAAGGAGGAGTGAAGTGACAGGTGCAGGCGAACATAGTGAAACGGTCAAAAGTTTTAAGCGTTGAGTGACAAGAAAGTGTCGAGTGACAAGTGTCAGTGCCTGAGCGGTCGCACCATCGGTCAACAGGTCGATCTCCACAGGCCAAACAAAAGAGGACATACAAGGGAGGAACAGGCCACCTGCAAATATTTGCTAAGTATTTCCAATTCTTCCGCATGACCTAACACATAATTTGCAAATTGAACTAAACAAGGCACATTGCCTAACTAAAAAAAACAATAATCATCGGCATTAAATAAATAAAAGTCAATTTTCCAAGAAAAACCAAACAGCCGATCGCGGACACGCACCAAAGTTGAACAGGGCAATAAAGCTGTCAACATAACAATTCAAGTAAAATAAACCGAGACCAAATAAATTTGACACTTAAGACATAAACAACATAAACTAAGAAAAATAAACAAAGTTAAAAAAAGCACTATAATCAAACTCCATGGAATTTGTAAACACTCTTGACTTCATAGTAAAAGTAAAAAAAATACCCCCCACTGGGAACTGCCTTATCGCAGCGATTGCACATCAGCTGTTTAACACGGTGATAGGTTCGTTACGCGAAACTGAAACAACAGCAGAGACTAGACAAATATTAAACAACCACTTACGTAATAACCTAGGAACGTACAGACCCTACATCGAGGACGCAATAAACGAACTAAGCAGTCGTTATGAACACATAAGTGACAAAACAGGACAAATTAATGCGTACCTAAACGACCACGGTAATTACGGCTTCTGGGCCGGACTGGAAACAATACTAGCCGCCTCAGACGTATTCAGCGTCGCAATCGAATTTACCATGAGCAGGGCGGGAAAGACAAGATATCCGCGAGACTGAACGACAATTCCCGTACAATAGCAATATGCTACAGACTAGGTGCACTAGGTACCCGTAACCACTACGACAGCATTTTAAAGGTATCTCCCAAACAGCCCGCACCCAGGAACAGCCCGACCACGTTCGTCAGAAACATAAACACCATAGTAGACATTGCACTTCTCACAAATTAACAAGACCAGTTGGGAGCAACTTAGCAACAATAAAAACAAAATAAAAAAAACAACCGACACACTTTACCAAGTTCAGGAACTATCCGACACGGATAATGACAATAATGAACAAGACGAAGACCTCGACTAGGTAACTACACACTGCAGCAATAACAACTCCCCAACTCCAAATAGTAATCCCAAATGTTTGGAGTAATATTAATCGACTGGTCTAGGGGGATTCCGCGTCGTACTTAGTTTTAAGTCGGCGTAATTGTCCTCCAAAAACCAACACCCTCCCGTCCCTTCTCCATACCCCACTGAGCGTATAGCATAGGCTCGGCGAACCCGGGAAAGGCTATTATAACTATTCGCCTCTTGCTCTCGAGCTCCAAATAGGGGACAGTACGGAACGCAATGGACATTCGCACCCAGCAAACACGGGTGAAGCCGTGAAGTTGCTGGGGAAGAACAAAAATCGGCGTAAGTAAACATAGGCCTGTACGGGGTTCGAGAGTCAAGAGGAAATGGGGCTGGTTATACGTCTCTTATACTCATACTCATACTCAAACATTAATTAACAAAGTTTTAAGACACTTTTTTGAGAAATTAATATCTTCCAAAGTTATGCGTTGATTTTGAAAATTGAATCACCAATTAATTCAGTTTTCAACGTAGTTTCGATAAAAAAAATTATAATCTTCTAAATTTGCATGTTACAAATTTCGATGAAGAACACAATTTTTTATAAATATTAACATACAAAATATATTAGCATGCCAATTTTGAAGGTTATAATTTTTTTTAACGAAACACCTATGAAATATGAATTAATTGATTATTCAATTTTCAAAATCAACGCAGTATCCAAAATATATACCTATTTTGAACGATAAATTTGACTTGAGGGTTTTTGGATGGCCCACTTGAGAAATTTTTACCCAAATCGAAAACGAACTTTTAACCATCTTGGTTATTATCAACTTTTGTATAGATGTCAATTTAGTTATATCGCTTTATTTTGGTTTTAGGAATATGTATTTTATAACCTAACTATCTTATTAAAAACAAACTTTGCACATGTATGTGAAAACATACAATGCAATGTTGACATTTTATAAAAATTTGTGTACAGTTTCGGGGTATGTTCGTTGGTCGTTATGGCTATTTTTCCCCATTTGATAGAATGTCCAAGTGCTAATAGCTTGGACATAATTTTTTTTTAACATACCACTTAGGACTTTTAAAAGGGAATTGAGATTGATGCTTATCCACTAATATGTGATTTTTGTACCTATTGTTGTGATATTTATTTTGCCTTCTTGTTTTTTTTATTAGTGTTTTTATGACTTTCACAATATTGTATTGTATTAATAATAATAATAATAATAATAATAATAATAATAATAATAATAATAATAGGCTTTATTTCAGAGGACATATACATGTGTAGAAAACGTCAAGGTACATTTGAAAATAGACAAACATAAATACAATTAAAAATAGGTACATATACATAATAATAGTAATAATTTACAGGAACTAAATCTACATTAAAAGAAATTCACTTATACCATAATAACATTTGGACAACAAATATGACTTTAAAAGCGTTTTAAAAATGTTAATTGACTTAGCATTTTGAATGTCTAAGGGGAGTCTATTAAATATATGTATGCCTAAACTGTTCGGGGACTTTTTACCTAAATTTAGACGATTACATTGCGTTCTTAGTTCATTTTTCTTTCGGGTATTAAAATTGTGGATATCAGAATTCATTAAGAATTTACTTTTGTTTAAAAATACATATATGCCTAGCTCCAGAATTTGAACACATGGTACAGGCAATATTTTAAATTTTTTAAATAGTTCTCTACATGAGAAATCCTGTGGAACACCGGCTATGCATCTGATTATTCGCTTTTGGGAAACAAATACACGTTCAGCACCCGTAGATGAACCCCAAAAACAAATACCATAGCGGATTCTACAACCAACCTGTGCATGATATAAACATAATAGTTGCTCTATTACTAATATTTGCCTAAGATTTCTAAATAAATAAACCAAAGAGCTTAATTTAGAGATTAAAAGGTCACAGTGATGACTCCAATTTAGTTTTTCATCAAGAACTATGCCCAAGAAGCTAAAATGGTCCTTTCTGGAGATGTTAAAACCATCAATAGACAGATCTAAATTAAGAGATTCTTTAGACCCATGTCCCTGAGTATAAAATCTTAAATAATTTGTCTTGGCTGCATTTAAATATAAAGAATTGCAAGCAAACCAAGACGATAACAAATTTAAATTATTTTTACATTCCATCTCGAGAATCTGGCTACTCTTGTTTGACAGTATAAGAGATGTGTCATCTGCGTATAGAGTGGTCAAACAGTTATTCTCAAGATGTAGCTCTAAATCATTGATGTATAGGGTAAATAACACAGGGCCAAGAATTGAACCCTGTGGCACACCCATGCATACATCAATGAGGTTGGAATTAACAGTGCTTTTATTTTGCAATAGATTATATTTAATTGATACATATTGCATTCTGTTACTTAAAAAACTATTCAACCATTGTATTTATATTGTGGCAATTTGCTGTTAATAAACATTATTATTATTATTATTATTATTAGTATTATTATTATTATTATTATTATTATTATTATTATTATTATTATTATTATATACATATTTTGTGGATGGTAAATATTTGTAACTTATAGAAAATGGGTAAATGATTCTTATTACTACTGGGACGACATTCGCAGAAGTGTAGAAGGTCCAAATGCTGGAGTAGCTGAGATATCTGGATATTTATTTTCCAGTGAATTTAAAGAAATAGTTAAAGTAAGTTTCATTTTTACATTTACATTTTTACATCAGGGCCATTCCACGCTTAACGGATAGGACAGTTACAAAGTCCCGTCCGTTACGCTTTAAATTATTAGTTTTTAAGGAATTAAACAGTCAACCACGATACCTAATTTTGCCAAATAAAAACCTTGTTAAACAGCTTTAGTTTAGAACTATTTATAAAAATTTGACATTGGTAATATAATAGAACAATATTATTTTGTAAATAAAAACACGGCAACTGTCCTATCCGTTACGCGTGGAATGGCCCATCATTAGAAAATCCGAAAATGTTTGTTTGGCTATGCTTTTTTATTAGTAGAGTTTAAAACTTTTTGCCCTCTTTAAAAAGTTGTATGACAAACAATTTTACAGAATCACTATCTAGAAAAACTTTTACCGATATACAGAAGAACAACTGAAGAGGAACTGAAGCTGTGCAAAGGAGATTGGAAATATGGAACTTTCTTTACTACAGTAGTCACGCAAAATAGTTATTACTTACCTTGGTCTACTAAAAAGTTTTTAGCAGCAGGAGGAAATATACTTGAAAAGAAAGTAAATTATTTTTCTGATGTGGCAAATGATTATAATGTTGTTGTTAACTGCACAGGACTGGGAGCAAAGGCATTATGTTCCGACAACCAGTTGGTACCTATTAGGGGACAAGTCATAAAGGTGATTACATTTAATTGTATTGGCCAAATGAAATAATTATTTATGTACACTTTGCAGGTTAAAGCACCTTGGATTAAAACGTTTTTTTACGGTAACTACGATACTTACATATTACCCGGCTTAGACTCAGTAACACTCGGTGGAACTCGTCAATATGAATCGTACGACAAGAGCGTTAACAAGTACGACGGTCTTTCAATAAAGGAACGATGCGAAGAGTTCGTCCCAAGTTTGCGTGGAGCCGAAGTTATTGCCCATAAAGTTGGTTTGCGACCACACAGAACCCCAGTTCGCGTTGAGAAAGAAGTGCTTAATTTAAATGGAAATAAAGTGAACATCGTTCACAATTATGGACATGGTGGTTATGGAGTGACAACGGCGCCTGGTACTTCCCTGTATGCTGTTGGACTAGTAAAAGAGATGCTTATGGGAAATTGTAAGCTATAAATGATTACAAAGTCGTCGATTTTAAAATAGAAAATGTAATTTGTTATAAAGTTTTTATTATTAATTTATTAAAAATATCTAAGTACATATAAATTTATTGTTCATGTATAACAAAATAATATATTATATAACATATAAAAAAAATATCTCACAACCTATGTGCATAAGAATTAAGGTGAAAATAATTAATAAAAAAGGCACGTTCAAAGCATGCCTACAAATAAGTTTATTTTTTCTTAAAGATACCTTGTAAATTGGATAAATTATTTGGCTTAGAAATAGATGGTTTGTTAAAAATTTTGCTGACTCTTTGTCGCATTTCTTCTACTCCCTGATTAACATTTTGACTTAGCTTTGTGCCTAATTCTACTGGGCTCTGAACTGATGTAAAAGCTTCTGGTTTATTTTCTTTATTGTCACATTCTTTGATCATAAGTAAAATTGTTTCACGATGTGACATAAGAGATTGGTTTTCAATAACAATACTCTCAAGACATCTAAAAAATAGGGACAAAATACACTTTACATTGTTTTCATATAATACTGTATACCTACTTTAAGGCTGGCACGACTGTGGAATCTATATTTTCCTTGTTTAATGGATTATAAACAATATTTGTAAAAGCTTCTACCAAAGCTAATACCATATCAACTTTTCTAGTTTGGTTTGTCATTTGCATTGTGAATTGAGAAAATCCAACAAGTTGTGGAATAATAACTAAATTAAATTAAATTACACAATAATTATAATTGTTAGGGTGGGCTAAAATGCAAACAAAATATTTCTTTATCCCTGCGCAATGCAGTTGAATTGTTTTTGAAAAACTGGCGTATTTTTTAATTTTTTAAAGATGTTTACAAGTAAGATCTAAAACTGCTGCGATAAAAAAAAAATTTAATTGAGAGCTTGAAAATACTACTGCATAAGAAAACAAATAATATAATATAATTTAAGCTCGCGCAAAGCATTTAAAAAATACGTAGCAACAACCTCCGCACCTGTGTCCAGTCAACAAAAGATGGTAGTACAGTTTTTGACAGGAATTTTGTGACTTTGTTTAAAATAGTAAATAGGTACTAAAAGTTCCGCCTCCCTAAGAGGTAAGCGGAGTGCAGTTCCATGCCCCCTGGCCATTTTTTCGGTTTTTCGCTCGGAAACTATGGGTCCAAGCGATAAGATAACTTTATACAAAATTAAAGCTGACAAAATTGTTTTTGACTTTGTTCTTTGATAAATATATGAGAAAAAAAAGTTGCAGAGAATTAAATGTATCTTAAGAATAGGTATAAATACTAATATAAAATTTTTCCTTCGACCATTCAAAACTAAGAGCTATTTCAACTTTATGTGTGAAGTTGTGCATTTTTCGTTATTTCACTGCAGTTCACTGCCTAAACTATATACAGGGTGTCCCAAAGTTTGCGGTAAAGGGTAAAGGTAAATTCCCCTTAAAATTCCAAGACGAATTTTCCTTTACCATTTTATCGAATTTACATAACGAAATAATACAATGTCGCATTAATATTTAATTTTACATAAATATTATATGTAATTAAATTAATATTCCTTTGTTGAAAAGTGTTGGGTTGGCTGGTTGGTTTGGTTGTTTGGTTTTATATTAATCGTAACAATTACATAAAATCATAAAATTATGAGGTCAGTTGGAATCGAAATTTAGTCCCGTCTCGGGACTCTAGACACAGCTGTTAAATAAACCATATTAAGCTAAATTTTCATGTATCCGTTTATCCGTGACAAATAGAAATTAAGGGCCAGTATATTCACTTCACTAAATTTACCTAATGCTTAATTGATATAAACTGCATAAAAATCGACGCACCTAGTTTTTTGGGAAATATTTGAAAGATCGTTATTGGAAAATTACTGAATCGATTTTGAAAATCTTTGGAAATTCTAAATAGCTGATTCTTTTACTCTTATGTCTAATTTTGGGAATACGATATTTTGCACATAGCATTATCCTACAGAGTGTTAAACGAAGAGATGTATTTTTTTCCGAAATTTAAAGTTATTCCCATTCATGAGGCAGTTGAGTTTAATAGTCGTAATACCCCTCCCTAATATAAGTAAGGTAATCCCTCGGAACGTTTTCGAGATTTTGTGAATATCGCGGCTTACTACGATTATATGCCAATTTTTCGAAAATTGTCGTTATTTCCCAGTTTAGTCCAAAAAATGAGCAATAGTGGATTCGTTGCCTTACGTCTAATTTTGAGATATTGTGCACAGCATTATACTACAGGGTGTAAAAAAAGGGATGTTTTTTTCTCCAAAATTTCAAATCCCCATTCACAGGGTAGTTGAGCTTGATAGTCGTAATACCCCTTCCTAATAACAGTTAGGTTATCCCTCGGGACGTTTTAGAGATTTTCTGTGATATCTTGGCTAACCAAGATATATGGCAATTTTTCGAAAATTCACGTTATTCTTTATTTTAGTCCACAAAATGAGCAATATTTGATTGTTTGACTCTTATGTCTTGAAAATAAGATATTGTGCACATATCATGATACTACAGGGTGTTAAAAAAAGAGATGTTTTTTTCTCAAATTCCAAATCCCCATTCACAGGGCAGTTGAGCTTGATAGTCCTAATACCCCTTCCTAATAACAGTTAGGTTAGGATATCTTGGCTAACTACGATTAGGTATATAGCAATTTTTAGAAAATTGTCGTTATTCTTCATTTTAGTCCAAAAAATGAGCAATACTTAGTTGATTTTTTGACTCCTATGTCTAATTTTAGGAATAAGATATTGTGCACATAGCATGATACTACAGGGTGTTAAAAAAGAGATGTTTTTTTCCAAAATTTTAAATTCACACATTCACAGGGCAGTTGAGCTTGATAGTCGTAATACCCCTCCCTAATAACAGTTGGGTAATCCCTCGGGATGTTTTTGAGATTTTAACTACGATTATATAGCAATTTTTCGAAAATTCACGTTATTCTCCACTTAATTCCCAAAAAATGAGCAAACTACGAAAGGTATCGATTAGTTATCAACACATCGTTTCCCCAATTTGCATGTTCTTGTGCCCATCTTCTTCTAGCAGAAATAGAGGGCAGGCAGCTCTTCGTCTTGCGTGGTATGCAACCTTTCATCCGTCATTTTATTTTTTTAAATGTGTTTTGCTGTTTGAAAAATATTTTCATATTCGACGAAAAAAATGACAAGAATAATTAAAGGGAGGAAACTCAAAACCAAATATTCGCCAAATTTGTTGATGTGGTGGAAAATGCTTTCTTTACCACGCTATTCAGGCGTTATCGTCTATAAATGGTACAAAATAGGTTAATTACATTTTTAAATACCTATACATTCACAATCTATACCTCTTTTAATTTTAAATATTATTTGCGAAGTATACTCATTAAAACTTGGAAATTTGTAATATCAGTAAGAAATTTCGCAGTTTCTAATCAAATGTTTGGGGATTTGTAACAAAAAAAGATTTGAAACATCGGCTGATGCTTTTATTGTTTAAAGGGTACCTATATAAAAGTCTTTAAAAGTATAATTTATTAAAAAAAAGTAGATTGTTTTTTTGCATAGTTTTCCTAAATATAAGCTAATAAATAATGTTTCCTCGCAAATATTGGACTTCCAAAAAAACCTTTGTCGTACTTTGCTTTGGAAATGTTACCACCTCAAAATATATGGGTGATTCTACAAAAGTTGGGCAACTTGATGACATCAGTCAATAGAGTAGGTATTTTAATATTTTTTGTAAATATTTCAGTATATTACAAAAGATCCAGGTTTTTTTAACTTGTCCACGCAATTTTAATGTATTTTTTCAAAAGAACGTTTGTATATTCAAAACATCAGTACCTTGGCGTGTCACAACTCCTGAATCAAATATTTAAGTGATTTTATTTTAAAATATATTCAATTTATCTTAAATTTTTCAATTTCACTACCAACTATAAACATTAAATAATTTATTTTTCATATTTTATCATTGTTTAATCTTAAAATTAAACAATAATTATTTAATTGACCTACTTTGGTCATCTAAGCGAACAAACCGCGTCAGCAATAACATAACAAAATACAACCTTCTAACATTAAGATGTTTGTAAAATAAGTATGTAAAATAAAATATCCCATTTGTATATAAGGAAACAATTTTATAATTAAAGTCAGTATTAACAAGACTATTGTGTTTTACTCAACTACCCACTAGTTTCCAAGCCTTAACTGGATCGTGAGGCTGCGCTCCGCTAGTGGGACATTATTACAAAGATTCGGGATCCTAATTAAGATCCGATTCTTTTCATGGTCCTTCGAACCTAAAATTGTACCAGTCCAATCCAGAAGTGGTGCAGTTTCATATCTAGAAAACAATCAAATCGACACAACTTAAGATGACAAACACAAACCCAAAAATGAACGAGCTGGTGGCCAAACAACAGGTCACTGGGAAGGCCATCCTTCAACTATACACCAACATGAAGAAAGATTCAACCTCAAGAAAGTCAACTGAATACTTCAAACGCCGCACTGAGGCGTTGAACGAACATTGGGCCAATGCGGAACAAACTCATGCCGAGATAATTAAAATCAAAGAATTATCTCATGAATATTGGACAACAGAATATTATAAACAAATCGAAAAATCGTATCAGGACTGTTATAAGTACATTCAGGACTCAACAACATGTATTAACGAATCCAGCGAAGACGAAGATACACGAGTAAAATTCCAGATGCAACGCATACAGGATCTTCAGCAAATAATGAACAGAATTGACGACGCATTAGCCCATGACCAGACTATAGATAGGTACGAAATTCTGTCTGAAAAATTAATTAATCAATGGCAAGTAATAGTATCAGCACATTTTGAAATCCGAGCCGACGACACACTACGTCAGGCATCGTATTTCACGAACAACACGTATACACTAATCTAAATGGAATGCGAAGACCGCATTTGTGACCTACGACAAAAAATACGTAGGTTAAAACAAACAGAAAGCGACAATGATAGAAGCACATCAATCAAACTACCACAGGTCCAGATTCCAGTTTTCGGAGGCAATTACGAGGAATGGGCCAATTTCGAAGACATCGTCACCTGAGAATTATAGTGTTCTATCTGCATTTTCTTTTTTTTATTCAGGTTAGTCTTGTTTTAAGTATTAAAGATGCATATTGTTCTATCTATATATAATTGGGGTAGAAATTGTACAGTTTAAGCCTTAAACTTTACAATTTCTACCCCAATTATATATAGATAGATCAATATCATCTTTAAGACTTAAAACAAGACTAACCTGAATAAAAAAAAGAAAATGTAGATAGAACACTATAATTCTCAGGTGACGACATATTTACGCAAATAATTCACAACAACCGACGCTTGTCCGACGTAGAAAAAATGCAGCATCTAAAAACTCACCTTAAAGGCGAAGCAGCGCGTGCCATTCAACATTTTCCCATAACAAATGCTAATTACGGAGCAGCATGGGAGCAGCTTAAAAAAAGGTACAATAACAAGAGGTTAATATTAACAAAGTTACTTAATAAAATGATGGAGTTCCCGCCAATTCACCATGAATCAGCTAGAAAACTACAAGAACTCCACGACACCATAAGTGAATGCATGGCTGCAATTAAGCTGATGGGAATAAAAACAGACTCATGGGGTCCAATAATAAGCTGTTTGATCTCGAAAAAATGCTGAAACA